CGGGATGCACATCCACAGCCTGGTCCAAGAGAGGCCTCGATCGTCTCATGCAGAGGGCCGGCAATCCCGCTGTCAACGCTACTGCAGCAAAGGGTTCATCACGGAGATTTGTGCTCGCTTGGCGTAAGAAAAACTAGGGACTTTGGCCATTTCGCTAACCCTGCAAGAATACGTCCATGCTACGACGCTGAAAGGAGAAAGGATGACAAACAACCGATATCCATCATAGATAATGTCTGTTCGAAAATCACAAGAGGAGCGCGCACAATCGTATCTCTCCGTTATGTTTCACGATCGGCGCTCGCTCTATACTTCAATCTCACACCAACGCGCATGGGCCTGCAGAAGGGTCACCAACAGGGTCGTTTTTGGCCCCCTCCTGACTCGAGCATACTACCAACCGCATATATTGAGACGCACAAGAGCACCAACATGCAGCAAGCTTGCCCGACAATCGCAATGGGAAATGCAAGTCGACACAGCGCCACCACAGCCGAGGCCAAGAATGTACACCCGGCTGTGTCAGAGCTATATTAGGAATTCCATATTCGCGAAAAGCAGAGCAGCAGCATTCCGAAACATTCCCCGACCGGCAAACGCTGTGGAAGAACCTCCACGTACAGCCAAGGCGGGTTCTCCCCCACAGCATGATCGTTAAGTCGGGCTGGACAACGGGGGTAAGGCCGATTCTTGGCCCCATCAACCTTATTGATTGCCCCAGGCATGATGCGATATCGCCCTAAATAGACTTCAGGTTGATCACGGCGCCATTCGGCGTCGATGCCGTGTGCTAGGCCGTAGGAAGGGGCTCCTCAATACACCTCGTGACCCCCCAAACGCAGTGTGAACGACATGAAGCCACACGTCTCAGTGATGGGACCATCAAGCAGCCGTCCGGATGCGACGCAGACGCAGGGCCGCCAAGAGCGACGCCAGAGGCGCGACTCTTGCGTTCGAGGTAGCGCCGCTCGACCTCCTCGAGGCTGTGCCCGCGCGTCTCGACCATGACGAGGGGCGACGATGATGGTGCAAAAGAGGGTGGCGAAGGCGAAAAGATAGTATGCGACAAAGGACGAAATGGCAACCAGCAAGGGCGTATGAGCGCTAGGACATAATTGGCAAGCTAGATGGTCAGCGACAGTCCGGTGTGGGAGGAAGCATGAGAGAAAAGGGGACATTCCCAGTTGGCGCTCTGGGCGAGGCTGGATGCGCTGCTCCTCGTCGTCGCCGGCAGACTTTCAACAAGAAAGGTTCGAAAGCCGATGGCCAGGTACCCGAGTAAACGATGGCAAACAGGAAGATGGAGACGATGACAATCCACTTGCCGGCACCTCGGTCAGCGTGAACCTCGTCGGCGGCGTACAGCGAGCCCATCACGAGCATGATGGCCGAGATGGCGACGCCGCCGACGAGACTCGAGGTGCGACGGCCCCATTTGTCGGCGAGGAAGGTGGCCGGTATGGTGACGGCGAGAATGACAAGGGCTGAGACGCCTGAGGCGAGGAAAAGTGGCCTCGTCGCCGTCAATGCCAGCCTGGGCAAAAAGAATGGGCGCGTAGTAGAGAACGCCGTCGATGCCGCTGAACTGCTGCATGGCCATGATGAAGCAGCCAAAGGCGGGTACGGCTGCGGAATGGCGCTGACCAGGCCTCGCGAAATTTGGGACGCCGTGTGCTGCAGCTCGTTGAGTAGTGTGGCATTGGCGTGGGCGGCGACCTCATGAGTGCGATTGTCGAGCAGATCCGCTCGCTCAGCTTCGTCGAGGCCGAGACGCACAGCAACAGCGCGGGCCTCGTCGAAACGACCTTTGGAGAGGAGCCAACGCGGCGAGGGCGGCACGAGGAAGTATGTGCTCGATAGCGCGAAGCCTAGGGCCGAGGCAACGGCAAGGGGCAGACGCCAGGCAATGGTCGAGGGCCCGAGTCGGGCGGTGCCGTAGCACATGAAGAAACCGAGAACGAGACCAGTGACGATGAGAAACTGGGGCAGCGCCGTCATGACGCCGCGCCTTCGTGCCGGGGCCATCTCGGAGACCTGGACGTAGACGTTGCTAAGAAAGAGACCCTCGCCAACACCCTTGACGAGGCGGCCGAAAATGAAAAGGCCCAGGACAGGGGCAGCACACTCCAGGGCAGCACCGACGGCGTAAATGAGAGCACCGAGGGAGAAGAGGCGGACGTGGCCGAAGCGGTCGGCGAGAACACCGGCGACAAGGGCCGTCAGGGCTCCGGGAATGAGCACCGATGAGACGATGACACCGTGCATGGTCGGCGACACATGGCCAAATGTGGCTTCGAACGACGGCATCGTCGTGACGGGGCCGATGCTGCCAGTGTCGAGGCTATTGTTGTCAGCAGCCGGCGAGAATTTGCTCCAAAGAAAGGCTCACCCGAAGAGCATGGCAACACAGGATGAGATGACGCTCGCCCTTACATAGAGCGGTGGCATGGCGAGCTTCATGGTGTTGGCTTGCTGCGGACGTTTCGCCTTGTGATGGTTTGTGAGAGTATTTGGCGGAATGGAAGTGTTTTTGTGGTTCAAATCTTCTGAAAGAACAGCAACAGCGGCCAAAAAGTCAGACGCAGCCTCTGTCAACTGATCGGCGCATCGTCACTTTTCTACCACCCGGCGTCTCTGAGGTTTTGCCGATGTCCGCTTGGCGGGTTCCACGGTTCCACCAAAGCCGCGAGGGTTACTCCATATGCATGCAGTAGGCTTATCGCGCCCGGGCATATCTCGTCTGACTCGTCAACGTGGCGAGTCTTGGTTTCGTAACGCTATGCAGGTGAGATACTTGATGAGCATGTAAGACGCGGCGGAGAGGCAAGGAAGAATTACATCGAGTCCCTGTTCCATGATACTGCTAACTGGGTATTCATTCAATCAAACGTGGGGGAAAAGTTTTGGATCTGTCCATCACTAGTTCGACCCTTTATGTCATGAACTGCCACTTACTTATTCACCTCACTGTGGACTTCATGATTCTCGTTCTTTTCGGATGTCAGACTCCTCGCTTGGCTGAGCTCTTCCTGCCTCCGAGCCAGAGCAGCCAGTCTGACACTCGATTCTCGTCCGTCTCTTACCTCTTCTCCGTCCAGATCAACCCCTCCACCGTGTCCAGGCGCGTCACACGTGCCGAACCGGGTCAGCGCTGAGTTACCGACCATGCAGTTGCAAGATTGGGGTTTAAATGCCGCCTTAGATGTGGCCTGCTGCTGTCGAGGGTCTTCAGACTGATTAAGACCCATCTGCCGACCAGGGGTTCCAGCCTGTTGACTAATGCTCCATGGGTTCATCTGGGGGTACGTCCGTCGATTTGCAGTCGAAGGCGGCGGCACGAAGAGTGACATTGGAGATTCGCTATTCCTATACGCCATCGAGCCATTGCGGGAGTCGCCGCCCTGTGTGTAGTTGCGATCTCGATGCCTCGTGAAGAGTCCCCTGCTGAGCGCTGGTTCATCGTATCCGTCGCCAACATTTTCGGGGTTCAAAGGATGGTCCTTGGTTGGGCGGTGCGGCTGGGGAGTGTCTGTTGGCGGGTCAGATGCTGGTAATTTACCGCGTTGCTTCTCGGAAAGTTTCTTCTGGCTGAAGAGACTGTAATGGCCGAAAACCATCTTGGTTGAACACGGTCGATGGTTTAAGAGCCGGAAAGAGATGATCGACGAGGCTGTCCGAGCTTTTGGTGGGATGAATGATGCTTCTCGATCTCTTAGACAGGGAGGTTTCTTTATCTTTCTGGCAATTGCGGTCCTCAAGTTGTCGGAGATACGTTGTCGAAGAAAAGCCTATTGTTTATTTGGGACGCCGCAGCACAATGAGTAACAGTCACATCTCGAAGGGTTTCATAAACCTTGAGGGCATGGGTCAACCCAAAGTAAACGCTGCAATTGTCTATGGTGCTCATGATGATGCCTTGATTCCGAAAATCTGCAATAAGATGTCAGCACATAATAGCAGCACGCCCGGAGGAAGTGGCTCTTACCTGGTTCAGCGCCGTGTCGTCCATCGTCGCCATCCTCTTCGACGCGATCCACCGCGATCGCACAGCGTGATGCCCCCTGAGCACCGGCGTCGACGTTCCCGAAACCGGCGTCGCTGTGCCCGAAGCAGACCTTGATGCGCTCGCCTTGGCTTCCTCGGCCTTCTTGAGCTCCTTCTTGCGCCTCTTCTTCTCCTTCTTGGCCGCCTTGTCGGCATCTGAGTCCGAGTCATCCGCTGCCGCGGCGGCCGCCTTCTTCTCTTTCTTTTCCTTCTTCTCCTGCTTGCGCTTCCTCCTGGCTTCCTTGTCCTCTGCCGCTAAGCTGTCCGTCTCGGTCTTGATCTTGGTCTTGTCCTTCTTCGACTTTTTCTTCGACGAGCCTTCCTCGGTGTCGTCCTGGGTATCATTGGGCGTCGATTTGGCCGACTTGGACTTTTCCTTCTTGGCTGCCTTGCGCTCCTCCTTGCGGCGCTTCTTCTTGGTCTTCTCATCTTCGCTCGACGAGTCCGACTCGGACGATGACACCTCGTCGGCCTTGCGCTTCTTCGACACGTCCTTGAGGCTCACCTCGGGGACATTCTCCACCTTGACGTCCTTGTCTTTGTCCTCCTCCTCCTCCTTCGTATCATCCATCGACTGCTTCTCCTGGTCGCCGACGAGCCAGCCGCCCCGCACGAAGCGCATGGGGCCAAATTTGCTGTCGCAGTACAAAGACGACGCGACGGCCAGCTTGGCCTGCTGCTCCTTCTGGATCTCCACATCCGACTTGCCGTTGAGGCGCGACAGCATGGCCTGGAAGGCGTCCATGCCGGTCGACCGCTCTTCGCGCGCCTGCTTGAAGCCGAGACCGAGCATGTCGTCCTTGAGCGAGACGCGGACGAACGAGGCGTTGGCGGCCGTGTAGTGCTCAGCCTGCGCGGCGTCCTTGGCGCCGAGGTATTGGCCGGGCTCCCAGCCCTGGGAGCGCAGGATCTTCTGGCCAAAGGTCGATGTGTCTTTGGCCCATGATGTGTTGTTCGGGTCCTTGTCGATTTTTCGGCGGCTGTCCTGTTAGCTGGGCTGCAGAGGGAGGGGGAAAAGACTGGTGGCCGATGGCTGGTGGGCGAGAGGGACGCACAATTTGACTTCCGCGAGACCCATGGTGGCGATGGGCTGCAATTGCCTGGAATGACTGGTCTAAGGAGGACGACGAAAGACAGAGCGCTCGCTGGCGGACGAAATGCAAGATGCTGAGGTACTGCGATGCTGGATGTGATAAGAAAATCGAGAGGCCGTTATCGTGAAAATTTTGGTGGGGTCCAATGTGGTCCGTGGGTCGGCCTCGTGCATCCGAGGAATGGCCGGTGTGCTGACCTGCTCACCGTTCTCCGAACCCGTTCACCGACCTGGGATTCACCGAGACTACCAGGCTCACCAGGGGCTCATCAACATGGCAATGCTCTATGATTGGCAGCACCAAGCCGTATCTGCAATGACATTTCATTCGATTTGCTGGATGTCTTATGTTTCTGATTTGCATGTTCCAAGAGAGCCTGGCAAAATGGCGGCCGTGTATGCGAATGTTCGCATTTTTCCTCAGATCCCATCATATACGAGGCGTCAGGCACCTGAGAATAGGTTCCTTCCCATGCTGAGCCTCAGCATAGTTGCAATGCCTTGCTCCTTCAATCGAGAGTCTCCATTGCACTCCTCTTTCTTGCCTCTTGCCTCCTGTGTCATGACCGGCCATCTTCCACCTCCGCTTCGTCCCAAAGAACCTCCGACAACCTGATATCGCCCTCATATCGAAATAGCAGACCACGATAACAACACAGATGACCCAGATTCAACCTATCACAATGTCTGCCACCGACTCCGGCAACCTCAGTCCTCCCGATCCGAAGCGCCGGCGTACCCGGAAGCCCGCCAAGCAGAACGGCAAGATGGAGGACGACTTCGCCGAGCCCTACAACATGGATATGGAAAGCGGCAGAAAGCGTCTCGAGGAGGTCAAGCAGCCCCGTTTTCCCAATTCGCTCATTACCCACTGACCCTCACCAGATCAATGCCAAGTTCACAGCCGCCCGTGACCGCCTCCTAGCCGACTACGAGGCCGAGCAGCGCGACCTCTCGGATACGCTCCTCAAGGCCCTCGAGAAGCAGATGAGCATCCAGTAACGCCCCCCCTCTTACCCCTTTACGTGCATCTGTGCTCTGGTGAATTGTTGCACGCCTGGCGCCTTCCTTCCCTCGTGTGCGCGGGCAGCTGACGCCAGTAGGGCCAACACGGACAGGCACTCGATCCACGTCCTCGCCGAGGCGGCGCAGGACCGGCTCGACGCCGAGGAGCGCATCCAGGCGCACGTCGACGGCGCCCAGGCGCGCTTCGAGCGCCTTGAGACGCTGCTGCGCGTGGTCGTCCAGGGACGCATCGAGGAAGCCGAGGCCGCGCTGCTCGAGGCCGGCGGTCTTGTCAAGGCGGAGGGTCTCGGCGTCAAGCATGAGTAGGCGGATTGTTTCGGGGGTTTCGAGTGGTTCCTGTACGAGTCGTTCAGTTCGAGTCTGTTGGTCTCCTGTTGAGTCGTGGCCTGAACTTGTTGAGAGTCTTCCGCGATGTCCCTGTCGTCCCGGCACATCGTGGCGTTGAGTCGAGCCGAGTCAATCATAGCACCCGCGTGAAATATGAAGAAAAGGAGTCGCGATTCCAACGCCGTCTATGCCACCAGTGATATGGCTACACTAATCGTCCCACGTCCCACGTCCGCCCATGTTGTTGTACACCAGCGCATCCCACGCCTCCCGTCTCCCCTCCAGCCTGTGGTCTGTGCCTCAGACCTCGAATCCGAACCCCTTCATGCACAGCTTGTACGCGTCAATCGTCGGCGCGCACGCCTTGGCCGGGTCCGCCGCGTTCGAGAAGAGCATGCACTCGTCGCGCTTGGACTTTTCCTCCTTGCACACGCAGCAGGGCTGTCCTGTTAGCTTGCGAGGGTTCTGCTGGTACGCGGGAGCCCCTCCGTCCATGTGGCGTCGGGTCATCCGGGGCGTCGGAGAGGGATAGGGGTGCGCACCTTGGGTTTCTCGGCCGCCGGCGCCGGCGTCGCGAGAGATGGGGATGCTGGTGTTGTCGTCAGTCCATTGGCTTTTCGGACACAGTGTTGGGGGCAGGACGAGGGGTACTCACAGATCGTGGCAGCGGGGGAGGCCATGTTGTCTTTTCTTGCAATGGGTGCGATGGGATGCGAACGAGGGAAAGCGTTGTCGAGCCGGGCTCTGTCGCTGCTGAAATCGTATGTCGACGAAGCTCAGTCCACTTTTTTTTGGGCCATTTCGGCGCCGTGGATTTGTCATTGTTCGTCTTTGAGCACAATTGCACGTCATCGCCTATTTGGTCGCTCGGTGGTTCGGTGAGTGGCGAATCGGAAGTAGCGGGTCACGTGCACTCGCGGGAGACTCGTGCCTCGTCGGCCACAGCTCGTCGACCATGGGCAACTCAGGGATCAGGAGTGGGTGGTAGAATCCATGAACTCCTATTTGTTTCCGAGATAGGCTCCAGAAAGGCATGCCAATCGGGCCCAAGGCTATTTGGTCAAGCAGAGAACACAAGCCCCATGCAATCATCAATACATGTCATAACGTATACTGAAACCATGCCCAAGATATGCCGCCGACAAGACATGCATCATCGCCTGCTGTGCAACGCTAAAACCCTCCAATATGTCATACTCCCACACGACGCTTTTCGTGTACCAAAGATACATACCCACACTAGTTTGCCCACCACACAAGAAGGCCATCGCCTGAACGCACCGCCTCACCTCACATGAGGACACACTTCTTGTCCGCCTTGTCACCTCGACCTGGCATGTTCCCTTGACTGGCAGCCGACACGTCCGTCCACGCCGCCGAGCTCGCAACATCAAAGTCGGGCTGCTTCTTCCTCTTCTTCTTCTTCTTCGACCCGCCCCAGCCGCGTCTCTTGGCGTCCTGCATGTTCTTCGCGGCGCTGCGCTCGGCGCGGCTCGGCTTGCGCGAGATCGACCCGTGCGACTGCCGTCCGTTCGATACCGTCGATGGCGCAGACAGCCAGGAGGGCATGAACCGCGACGACGAGGACCTCGGGTCTGTGATGCTCGCGCCAGTGTTCACTGGCGGCACGTAAGAGGGATCGAGCCGCTCTATCGCCGGCTGCACGTGTCGCGGTATCGGCGCCAAGATCGGCGTCTCGCCTCTGCCACGACCCGACGTGCGCCGGTTGGGTGCGTCAAAGGCGCCCGTCACGCCGCCAGGCGTGCTGATGATGAGCGGCTGGTCCTCGACAGCCGGGCTTTGCGTGTGCGCTGTCGTCCGGATCGATGGGAATGGCCTTGATGCTGAGTCCTGCGACGTCGGACGCCCGCGACTGCCGACAGGCACGCGCCGAGGCGAAGCTGGACCAGCAGGGGCCCGTAAGAGGATACCCGGCCGGGGTCGTTTGCACGGCGCTAGGCTCAGGAGATCTGGGCCACGTCTGCGCATTAGACAGCCGCCTCGGCAACGGTTCGCCAGAAGGAGCTGGATGGCTCGTCTGCGGCCCCAGGCCTTTTGCAAGGTTCACCACGGGTATTTGGAGGTCTAGAACAGGAGGACCTTGGTTGTCCGAGGGATACGACGAGTTCCGCAGAGGAGCAGCTGGTGAATTCGCCGTCGACGGCCGGCGAGCGTGGGCATCCTGTTGTCTGCTCAAGCTCGTTCGGCGTGGAGCATCGTATGCGCCGCGCGCCGGCGGAGCGAGGTCCTGCTGAGCGCCACTGCTCCGGCGCGCTGCGATACGTGGCGAATCAGGTGGCGAGACATCGTAAATATTTTCGTCGTCGCCATCGTGGACCGACGGACTCGTCGTGGGTCGAGGCTGGCTGCTGGCGCGCGGCCGGCTCATGGTTGTGGAGTCGCTGTTCGTCCTGCGATGCATCACTGGATGTGCGCTATGCGGCGGTTCCTGATACCCACGCGTGTGGATTGGCGGCTGATTGACCATCTGCTGCGGGTTCGGCAGCGGCCAAGCCGACCCCACAGTCGGCGCCGCCGTCTGGATACGCGGCGGCTGAAGATCGCGTTGCCGCTGCTGGTTCGCCGGCGTCACAGCGGGTTGTCGCAGGAAGGCAGGAAGGTCGACAGGGTCGTCTTTTTGGTAAGGGGGTGGTGGCGGTACCCAATTGTCAGCATCGCTCTCGTGAGGGTGCTCCCTGCGACCATCGGCACGTCTGTAGGGGACCGAACCAGCGGCTGGTTCCTGCGGCTGTCGTCGCCGGTTGACCGCTGCTGCCGTGGCGGCACGGCGCAACGTTGTCGTAGAGCGGGGGTTGTCGTGTGAGTACGGAGCGTCGACAGCTTCCTGCGCCTCCATAATAGTCCTGTGCTCATTGTCTGCCGGTGCTGTAGGCGTTGCGGTAGTTTGTTGCGCGGGCCGTGGCGGCGCACCTATGCGCCTCGGAAGGAGAGGGTCGTCGTCACCATCCTTGTTATTGTTGCCATCACTATCCTCTTGCAGCGGAATGTCAGGCACCGGGGGTGGCCCCTCGGCCCCAGCGGTGGTAGCAGCACGCATAAGGCGATCCCCTCCTCGTCTCTGTGCGACAGTCCTGCGTCGAACGATGGCAACCTCAGCGTCGATGTCGCGGCGCTCCTCCTCTAACACTTCTGGCTCAATAGTGCCAACCTCGATAGTAATCTCCTTCTTCGCACCGTCGGCGGTACCGTAAGCAAAGTCGAGCAGCGTGATTCGGCCACCGTCAACAAAGTCAATGTCATCCTCTTCCGTTATGGACTTGCCGGGCTGGAGACCGCGGGCAGCGACGACGAGGCGCTCTCTGGAGGAGGATTCGCCAAAGCCAGCAACCCACTTGACTGTGCTTACACCTTCAAGTTCTGCGATTTTTGCGCCCCAGACAAAGGTGTTGCGAAGCCTATCGCACAGCAGTTGCCACTGCGGCCTTGTGGTACTGTCCTGTGCCGTTCGTGACGAGGGCGTGCGGGAAGGTGGGTTGCTGTTCCGCCTGCCGGAAGCGCTCGTCGTCGAGAGGCTGCTGTCAGTGACGGCGGGGCCGCCGTCCGGCACAGCGTCGAGGTCCTCGGGGAATGCCGTACAGCCAGATGTCTTTGCCCTTGAAGCCAGCCGACACGAGGTCGCCATGGTATGTCGCTGCCGGGCAGCGTGCAAGGCACAAGCTTGGCCTGCTCGCTCTCGCTTGGGCTGGGAATCGGCCCCGTGAAGTAGGAGGTTCCGTTCCGCAGGTTCGTCGATGCGCACAGCGCGGAACGTCTCGAAGCTGCGGTCGTAGGCGAAACTCCAGGCGGCCTCCTCGCGGCTCGTATCTTGCAGCAGTACGGCGTGACTGCAGTCACGACTTGTGTTTGGAAACAGGATGGACGTGGTCCAGAGGGCGCTCATGTTATCGTCCATCATGCTTCCGGGGTCGTAATAGGGTGCTGTCAGTACGACGGTGTTCGGCAAGCCCGTGTGAATAGTTGTTCCCAGCAGCTGCGTGCCATCGAAGGAGAAGGCGAGACTATCAACGGCGTCGCACTTGACTGCGCGTCTCTCGGTGGGCATTGCGCCAGGTGCCAGAGAGGTCACCTCGATGCCGCCCTCGTAGGCAGCAGCCAGGACGGAGCCGCAAGGCGACATGGCAATGGTGCGAGGGGCATTGTCGAGGATGATAGACTGGGTGCGGCGTGGCGGAGACTCTGTGAGGTCGTAAATATCAACCTGCATCTCACTCGACAGGACGGCAAGCAGCGAGCCGTCATCCTTGATACAGGCAGAGGCGGGGCGGCGAAGAATCTTAAGCTCTCTCCGGACATGGATCTCGGCGGGCCGCACATCGAGAATATAGATGCGAGACGAGTTGTAGGCGAGTATATGGTGGCCGCGAGGGGAGGGGCTGAATTGCAAGCCTTCGCCGCCGGGACACGACGAGGAGGAGATGGAGTTGGAGATGAGCTTGATGGTCGTTTCGGCAGGTCGCAGGTAAGCCTCGAATAGGTTGCGCTTAACCTCTCTGGCGAAGAGAGTTCGTAAGCGCGGGAGATTATCGTCGGAGGCTTCGATATCGGGGGAGCCGCTGTGACTGGCGGCGTAGGAAGGACATTTAGAAAGGTGGTAGGCGTAAAGCTCGGCTTGCTGAGAGACACGGCGCCAGTTCGTGTTGAGGAGGACGAGAGAGGCGAAGGAGTCGGCATCGGCGTCTTGCAAGATCCTGCAGTTGTTTCTGGTCAGACGTGTTTCTGCATATATTCCAGCAAGGCCAAGAAAGATGGAGAGACGGAAAGATAGAGACAAGGAAGCGAGTTGCGCACTGTTGGATGATCTCGTCAGGGAGACGATCGACGGCGGGGGGTTCGACGGGCTGAGGTTTGTCTACTGACAACCTCAGCCCGGGTGTGTCTTCCGAGGGCGAAGCCATGTCGATAAATCTCGATATCGAGGTTGACCGAGGCTTTGTTGGGTTCGCCATCCGTCCGTCGCAGCAGGCAGTCGAGAAAGCTGTCACGCAGACATTATTGATGGGGTATGGTGCGATGCTGAGCTAGCGGCGACGGTGGTGTGATGTTGTGTCGAGCGAGACCTGCAAATATGGCCAAAGTCGTCGAGAGCTGCAATCGAGTTTCCTGGGAACGTGGCCGCTGAGATACTGGATCGTGGAGTCTGACTTTCAAGGTGTGATGCTATGGCAGGAGATCTGGAGATGAACACCAGAGCAAGCAGGAGGAAGAGCGGCGAAAGGCAGCGCAAGCAGCTGAGGCGGTGCAAGTGCAACCACGTAGGGGGATGGGGGGGAGGATACGCTGTCAATACCTGTCATCAGGTGCATGTTAGGCGTGGCGCCGAGGTATACCGAGAGTCTCTTGGAGCACCGACCCACGAATCAGGGTCCTTCCCTCGGCGGTTCACTGCACTTTCTCCCCTAATGGCCCCCCAATAGCCACCTGAGAGATCTATTCGAGGTAGTGACGGGCGGCTGGCACTTGCTAGCACAGCGGTTCGCGCCTCCTCCAGCCTCACGACGCCAGTACCATGACTTCGCCCCTCCATTGTAGCATCCTCTTTCGTCGCCTATGGTCTCTCCTTCATTGCACACCCTTCACCTCCATTGATATGCACCCTTGATGGTGGGTTTTTTGAGCCTTTCCCGCGTTGCCTTTTTCTTTTAAAGCCCCGGAAGAAGAAGCGAATCCGACAAAAAAAAAGTTCAAAGGACAAAGCAGTCTCGGGGCACAGTTGACAATTCATTCGCGGGCCAAACACCTTCAGCCGCCCGCCCGCCAAACAGAAACATTCCGCCAGCACCACACGCCTTGCTTCTATTTTTGGCCGCAATCAGCACCAATGCTCATGTCTTGGCTGGGCCTCACGATTTCCGTCTGTCACAAAGCTCCAACGCATCCACGGGCCGCCACGTGATAAGTTATCCGCGCGTTCAAGAAGATGGCCTCGACAGATTCATAATGACGACCTCCGTCCGAGTTATCTCAATCGAAAAGGATTGTCAGCATCTTAGGTTTCGTTGTTCCGTGCTAAATCAGACATGACTATTTCTCAAGCAGCGTCCACCAGGAACAGGGGTGTTTCAACGCTGAGCGTTTCAGTCGACCCCGACCCCATCGTTCATGACGATCACCAGTGCACTGACGGTAACTCACCAGCTTTGGTCAGTTTTCCGCTGCTTCTGCATGTGCTGTTCTCATTTCTCGCGTCCATCAAATCATTCTGGAGTCGCAAACGTACCCTCTGTCTTGGCATTGGCCGAACTTCAACTCCACCGACCTTACTCACCTTCGCCATGTCCCAAGCTACCCTCAATCCACCATGAAAGTCACCAAAGCCCATCTGCGCAAATGTAGCTACTTCTTCATCCCCGGCGTCCTGTTTATCACGATTTCAGTGATCCTGGGTCTCAGGTTCGGCAGGCCTTCCACAACCAAGAACGATGTGAGTTCATCCGCCATACCATGCGCACACGGACGTGATGAATTGACAACACGCAGAACCCTTCTGGCCTTCCCGAGACGACGGTCGACCTTGGCTACGCTCAGTACGTTGGTAACACGCTGCCGGGAGGCACTCGACAGTATCTTGGCATCCGCTACGCTCTGCCGCCCACTGGCGACCGAAGATGGCGTGCACCCGAAGAACCACTCCCCAATCAGGGGCACCAGCAGGCCAAGACGGTATGAGCCGCGTGCACGTCTCCCATTGATGGAACTCGTTCTCACTCACCTATCCAGTACGGCGCCATCTGCTATCCAATTGGCTTAGATTATCCTGCCGATGGCCATGATGAGGACTGCCTGTTTGCCAATATATGGGCGCCGAATGTTGGAAACTCATCCGCGAAGCTGCCGGTATGGGTCTTTATACAAGGTGGAGGTGAGCACGCTTCGGGACCCTGGTCACGAACCTCGGGTTGTAGAAGGTTTTGACGGTTGCAGGCTACTCGACTCTGGCCAGCTGGAACTGGAACGGCACGGATGCCGTCGAAAAAGCAGGCGGCAAATTCCTCTTCATCAACTTCAACTACAGGGTTGGCCTCTTCGGCTTCCTCGCTGGCGGTGATGTTGAAGCAGACGGCGATCTCAACGTTGGCATTCTCGACCAACGACGTCTGTTGCAATGGGTACAAACTCACATATCCAAAGTAAGGTGTCTCCCTTGGTCGATGTTGCTGTGTACAAACGCTTGACAATGAACAGTTCGGCGGTGACCCCAAGCATGTCATCATCCACGGCGTCTCGGCTGGCGCCGGTTCCGTCGCCATGCACCTAGCGGGATACGGCGGCCGCAACGACAACCTCTTCGTCGGTGCCATGGCTCAGTCGGCCTTCTTCCCGGCGCAGCCTCATGTCAGTGACCTCGAGTACCAGTTCGATCGCGTCCTCGATGACGTTGGCTGTCGCAGTGCTCAAGATAAGATGAAGTGCCTCCGCGGTACATCCATGGGAACCCTGCAACGTGCCAACGACATATCGCCCTTTCCCGGCAGAACCCATGCCCCACACTTCTACTGGACCCCTTGCGTTGACGGTGACCTTCTGGTCGACTACCCCTCGGTGCTGTTCAAGACCGGCAATTTTGTACAGGTGCCCGTCCTCTTCGGCGTCTGCAACGATGGTCAGTCATGCTTGCCTGAAGTTCGCTCCTGTTTTGTATCTTGTTAACGAGCAAACATAGAGGGCTCCGTCTTTGCCGACGAAGTCGAAACCTCGGCCGACCCAGACATCCTACCTCCTCGACCAGTACCCGCACCTCAACGCTACGCACCAAGACACCCTCGCATCCCTTTACCCCCGCCAGGCGCCCCTACCGAACCATGCCCCCTATTTCCCTTCACTTTCTCGGGCCTACGGCGAAGCGACCTTCTCCTGCCCCTCCGCCTCGCTCCTAACCGCCTACAGCGCATCATCGTCTCCGACCTGGGGCTATCGCTTCGCCGTGCCAGATGCAGACAACACGGCCGCCGGACTCGGGATACCCCACGTCTTTGACGCCCCCGCCGTCCTCGGTCCGGGCATGCTCCCCACCGCCGCTTCGTACTACACCTACAACGCGCCCGTCGTGCCGCTCGTCATGGCCTACTTTGCCTCGTTTGTCCGGGCGCTCGATCCTAACAGATATCGGGCCGAGGGAGCTCCAGCTTGGGAGACGTGGGGAGCGAACGGGTCAAGGGTCGTGTTTGAAGGCGAGGGGAGGATGAATGTAGAGAATGCTGCGGACAACGGCATGGGCGAGAGGTGTGCTTTCTGGGACGGGGTTGCCGAAACGACGGAGCAGTAGAGTTGGAAGGGCCTTTTGCGTGAAGGTGTTAGGAACAGCCTGGTAAGTCAGGCTTGGAGCTGTTGATTTGTCGATTGGGACATATTGCATGATTGGAGCGAAGCGAATGTCTTTCGAGCATGTAGAGAGAGACTGGCATATCGTAATAGATCTGTTGGATCCCCACATCCAAAACTGGCCCCATTTTTTCACACTGGCTTTGCACTATGTCTGTCTGATCAGATATACCCAGACTGAAGGTTTGATTGTGTAGACAGTCTTGCGCAGGGTTTCCATTTTCGTGTTGAGGTGGCAACATAGAAACCAAGCCCAAAAATTGTGGTGTTCATCTGAAGTACCTGTCAAGACGCATTCATAGATCCTCGTCTGACGAGGACTTTGGTGAGTAAATCTCAAAGTCTTGACAATCTAAGGTGGACTGAACGAGAAACAAGTCGGTGGAGAGGCTCAAGCCGGAATTGCTGCCGATGGCGATTCCGACCCTGACCCCGAAGGGTCCGCCTCCCCAGGCAGTTCCTCCTCGGCATCCCTAAAGCTGTACCAGCTCCCGGTCTCTCCGTCATCGAGCTCCTCCCTCTCCAGCTCCACCATCATGGCCTCTCTCTCCCGCCACACCTCGTCAGCCCACTTCATCTCAGCTGCCGTTCTCCTGGTCGCCTCCCTCGCCTGCTCGGCCAGCCTGTCCTCCAACCTCGCCTTGACGCTGCAGAGCCCCTCCTCCTGAATGGTCCGCTCCTCGTCGACGCGGGCCTGATACGCCGCCATTTCACCGTCCCGCCACTGGCTCCAGGCGCGCCACCCCTTGTCCATCTGCCGCCGAAACAGCGTCATCGCGTTGCCGACCATTTCCGCCCCCTCGACGCGCCCCTCGTAGAAAGCCTGCAGCTCGAGCATGTACTTGGCCTCGACGTCCCTCTCCTCCGCGACTCTCGAAGCGTAGTCCCGTTTGAACGACATCTCGCGCGCTTGGACCTTGTCGCGTGCCGTCTGGTCGTATTCTAGTCTCTCTCGGAGCTGCCTCTCCTTAAGAGCCTCCTCTTCAGCAGCACCATCGCCCTTGAGAACTTCGACCTCTCGATCGTGCTGCCAGCCTACAAGCACATCCTGCAGCTCCCTCAGATCCCCCATCTGGCGTCTCAACTTCTCAAACCTGTCCTTGACTTCGCTCTGTCTGATGGCCTCCTGCTCGGCTCTCTGCTCGGCTTCCGCCCTCTCGGCCTCGGCCCGGAGCAGCTCCTGTTTGAGCCTCTCCTCCCTCTCAACTCCTCTACCATTCGCACGCTTCCTCCTCCTCTGCCTCCTGAGAAGTCGCGCCCCCGGCCCCCGCCCCCGGCGCCGCGAGTTTCTCCGCCAGCGAGTCCATGGTACATCCACCCGTCTGCCCCGGTAGCGCGCAGACGTAGCAGAACTCGTGCCCACAACGACACGTCATGTGCTGGCATGCCTCGCGATGCTCGACGAGCGCGTGGCACGCGCCGCAGTGCATCCAGCCGGCATCGGCAGCGAGGGCCTCGGTGAGGGCGGCGTCGCGGTCGGAGGGGCACGCCTCAGTGGTAGGGTGAGCGGGGCCGCGGCAGAGGGTGCAGGTTGGAGGATGGCTGCGGTGGGAGCAGCGCGCTGTGCGGGTGGCGTGGTTGATGCGCCTCGGGGGGATGAAGCGTGAGCAGGTGGGTCGGCTGCAGTAGATTCGATCTGGAGCCGGGAGAGCCCACTCCTCGGCGCGGCGACGGAATGTCTTCTGGAGGTCGGCCGGAATGTGGGCGAGAGTTGTCTCCTCGGGGATTGTGTTGAGGCAACACTTAGGGGGCCACTGCTGCTCGTTCTGGCATGCGGTTGTGATGAGGCGGTGGAAACACGAGGTGCAATAGCTGTGACAGGTAATCTTGACAAGAGCCGACTGAGGAAAGTCATCTAGGCAGGAGACGCATTCACTGAGTCCGTCAATATGGAAAAGCTGAGAAAGAGGGGAGGACTTACACTTCTTCCGGTGGCGTTGGCGGTAGCGGTGGCTCTTCATATTTGATGGTGACCTCAGATGAGCTAGACGGCTCCTCATTCTTTGACGAGTCTCCGGCTGCGGGAGTGTCACTGTCCCTATCGGCGAGACGCTTGAGCAGGCGGGCGAGCTTGAACTTGCGGCCCTTCTTTGGCTTGGTGTCAAAATCAAAAGGCGTCCTGGATACAGGTGTGTCGTGGGAGAAAAGGTTCTCAAGGTCTTCTTTTTCTGCTTCGTCGAGGTGGGCCTGCACTTCAGAGATGGAGACGGGTTGAGGGTCATCCGAGGGTATGATGATGGGAAGATATGGTTCCCTGGCGGCTGCATCCTCTTCAGAGTCTGGGGTCGTTGGCTCACTCGACTTTATCCGCTGCTCCTCTTCTTCCTCTCTTTTTCGATGCTCTGCGGCGTTGCGCGCTTGTATTCTGTCGATTGATGTCTTGATTATGTGAACGAGAACATCGTCATGAAAATTCGGCGTTGTGTGCAAAGCCGCAGGAGGGCTGTACTTGGTCCAGTCGACTTCTTTCTCTCCCGTCACAGTTGGCTGTTCGTCGTCAATGGAAGGCCCCACGGCCTTGCCTTTTCCCTTCCACTGCGTTGGTGTGGAGTCTAGGCCGGCGACGAGACTGAGAGGGTCGCCATAGAATTTGATGTAATCAGCGGGAATGGTGAGGTCCGTGAAATCCTCCTCCATCTCCACCAGCGTCATGGTAACAGACATTGGGACTGTGCGAAGATGAGACCTCCCTTACAGTTAGTCCGATCAATGAGTCGGTAAACGAACCCTGGAATCAAAACCATCATAAAAGCCATCACGCGACAGCAGCATCATCGGGAGATATACCACGATCATGATTGACGGCAACCGAGGTCGGTTCAGGCAGTCTCAAGACGTTCAAGACGCCTCGCCCGGAAATAGAAGGCGCTAGTCTGTCTTGTTGTTGAGCTGGAATCAAGCCTCTCAAGTCGATCGAGAAGCACCAATGAGCAAGGCGCAATCCGTCACGAGGGATGGCCGTCATGGTGTTGAGGCAATGAACCGAAGTGGCGGTACGTTGGTGTAGGACAGCGGTTGGGAGCCTAACTGGGTAAGCGCAAAGTGGGGTGAGGCTGGTCCCTAGAA